AATGAGTAAGTTGTGAGTTATTAACTTGAATAATGTATGTACCTATCGATAATGGCTTGACCTTTCTATCATTGATGTCTTGCAAGTATTTAGAGCAACTTCTTTTCTAATGGACCTTATCATTAAAGTAGTAGCAAATGGCCTCTTTGGGATCACTAATACTAGGAATATCTAAAGCGGGATTTGCTTTGACCCACCACTAGACGATCTAGTTTAGGCCTTACCCTTCCAATTCGAATGAGGTTTAGCCTTCCTCTTTTTTCCTCTATTTTATCCAATAGAAAGGATGGGAGAAATTGTAGCAGAAGCAGCAACAATGAATTGTGGAGGGCGAGATGTCCATGGAGGAGCACTAGTAGAACGTGGCTAAAACTTCTTCTCACCAGACCTATGTTGTTGTCCCGACTGGGTCTAACTAGATTTACCCTTATTAATTAACAATGGACATTGGGATTTCTAATGATTTTTCTGTTTGCAAAAGGCACACTCATCATAAGAAACCATTGGAGTTTGTCAAGAATGATTAGAGGAAACAACAAGCACATCAGAAATGGAAGTAGGAGTAGAGATTACTTTAGACCCTTTATTTGTCAAGACTTGATATGAGTTTCTTCAGCAATCAGCTCATGAACAACAAAATCTACTGAAGGAAAGAAGGGCATGATGAAGAATCATCCCACGTACTCCTTCAAAATTAGAATGAAATACCATAAAAAACTGAACCAAATGTTTTTCTTCTCTCCTAGCAGTATAAGGCTCAAAGTCTTTTAACTCTTTAGATTTAGTTGGAGCCAATTAATCCCACAAATTAGACATAGCAGCATAGAAATCTTGAATACTCATATCATTTTGTTGAAGAGCATGAATTTCATATTGTAACTGATACTGTTTAGCAAAGTTGAACTGAGTATATAGTCTCTCCAAATGATTCCAAACTTCCTTTTTTGTGTCATATTTAGCTAATTGCATACCAATAGATTATGTAATAGAATTTTTAATCCAAGTAATGACCTTGGAGTTATCAATCTCTTAAGTATCAACCAACAAACCGAAATTTTCAGCTTGAGGCACTGAAGGTTTGGATTTAATCATAATGACATAGTCCCACATATTCTTTCCACAAAGGAAGTTCTTCATAACATAGCTCCAATACATGTAATTCTTTCCATCCAATCGAGTATTGATTGACTAAAAGGAATCATCCTTTCCAATCATGTTGGAAACAAATTGATAACCACAATAAGAAGAACAACAATAATAGACAAGCAATCAGAGAACAAGAATAACAACAAACTAGTAGAAGCAACAAATCGAACAAGCAGAAGTCAAATAGTAGAAATCAAACCATCAGAAACCGAACCAGCAAATGCAACAAACGAAACAAAAATGGCAGACGAACAACTACAGTAACCCTAAAAATTTTCAATCTACACTACAAATTACTACTAAAAAACATTCTAACAACATATCAAACCTCGGCTCTGATACGATAATAATAGAGTCATATTCTTATTGAAAGAGAGAAATTACAAATGTACTAGATAGAAAATCATAAGAGCTACAAACAAGAAAAAATGGAGAATAAATACTAGTTAAGACCAAACCCTAAGGGGCTAAAGGCTAAAGAACCCATAAACATGAGGGTTAATATCATATGAACTAACAAAAACATATCGTAAATCGATCGACCCATAAATATGTGGGTCAAAGTTGAGACATAAGTGTAGGGATGTTATTCGGGTCGGAACCGGACTGAACCGACCCGAACCAAAATAACCCAAAATTGAATAAAGATAACTGTATGAACCGAAAACCAAACCGATTAACCAATACGGGTTCGGTTCGGTTCGATATTAATTGGTTCAGTTTGTTTATTATCCGAATAACATGTATAAGATGATTAAGGACCTAATATAACCGGAAAAAACTGAATAAACCGTATTAGGATTCTATAACCCGAATAATAGAATGATAATGTAGTTTTTACATCGACATAAAACATTCAAAGACTAACATAACACAATAATACATTAAAAACTAGCATTTGCATAGTAGATTCAAATAATGACACTTAATTTCTTACTTGAGTTTTATGAGTTGGAGCCCAATTTTCCATGAATAGACAAAGTAGGAATTTGTGAATCCTTAAAAACAATATGAAGGGTCAATTTTTGAAAATCTGAAACAAAATGAATGATCGATAAAAGTGATTTCGAGTTTGAAAATAGATAAGAAGATTGGTCATTTTGAAACGCATAGGGTTTTTTCTTCTGTTACGAACGACGATAACTGAAATGTGAATTGTGATTTTGATTTTTGTCGATCAGAGAAAGCGGGCGAGGAATGCTTATTCGGGTCGGCTATTTAGAACCGAATAAGCTCTTATTTGGGTAACTCAGACCGAACAACTTGAGAACCGAATAAGTATAATATAGATACCTGAAACCCGATCGAATTGCTTATTTGGGCCTAATTCAGTTCGTTTCGGTTCGAATTTCCGGACCAAATTATCATCCCTACATAAGTGTATGCCGGTGTATGCCCCAATAAATAGGTTGAATGATAAGTTAATAAGGGTGTGGTTGGGGGTTTGATTGACCCATAATTTTTTTGTCCGACTTTTCATAAATAACTAGTGTGCCAATATGATTATAAAGCCTATATTGTTATAATAGTGAAATTTTTAGATAAACTAATTTAAAAGGTTGCATGCATTAAATTAAAAAAACACTTTAGGTGACTTTCAAAGTGTAATTTTTATTTATTTATTTATTTTACTCGTTTCAGATAAAACATAATCCAAATCACTTCATTCACATTAATGGGTCGAACTTGCAACGTCTATCGGTTACAAAATAAACATGTTAATAATGAGTCAAAACGAGTTTCGATCATATTTATAAACTTTTATGACAAGTAACGACAAAAAAGGAGACCAAACAATCAAGATTTTTATGGGAATTGTTAGGTTACTGCAATTTTGTACAGAATTTGAGTGTTCATCAAAGATGTGACCTTTTGGCTTGTTATTCATTTATGCGACCTTTTGGCTTCTTATTCATTTATTACTTGATTGGAACCCTTACTAGAAACAACCATGGACTTACTTTCCATTTAGGCATACCCACTATGATCCTAAAATCATTTGGGTATTTTTAGAAAACCGAATTTAGTTTCAAGTGATATTTTCCACTTATGAGTGGCCTAACGTGAAGAAATATAGAACATGAGGTGAAGTTTACTTGCTCAGGGATTTAAATTCTTGTGAATCAAAAAAGGACAAACAAGAAAGCTAAAGACAATAGAAAGAGACATACACATCTTAGAGGTCCACATAACAACTCATTTTGTACAAAAAATGTGGCTTCAATTTGCTTAGATCTTAAAATATCTTCATGTTTTTCCATTCTTTTGATTTTGGTATGCCCACCATCTGCACATATGGAAATGAATCAATGATAGATAAGTGTGACCTACAATATGAGGATTTCACTAACGGGAATAACTGTTATAATTTTATGATAAAGTTACATAAGTGGTCCTTATGGTTGACCAAATCGACTAACTCTAGTCCATATGATGATTTTTTTTTGCATAGATGGTCTCTTTGGTTTCAAAATCTTGCGAAAATTGTCCTTCTGGCAAATAGTGTTAATTTTTTCGGTTAAGTCCCAAATGAAATGACATATTTGCCCTTCCTTCCATAAGGACCATTTTTAAGATGTTGCATTTGAAAAAGGAAGAACATAGGTGACACAGGGACCGTTTCTAAAATATACACTTATAGCAACCACCACTACTCCCTCCTGCCAGCACCACAACAGACGTGTGCCACTACCACCAACCTATTTGTAACTCTTTAATCAACCTTCAATCCTTTACCATTTTTCCATTGATGTACTGAGAAGGAAAAGAGATGGTGGTGGTGGCTTCAACTCTGACATTGCTTCCTTCCTCTACAACAACATACTCTCTCTCTCTCTCTCTCTCTCTCTCTCTCTCTCTCTCTCTCTCTCTCTCTCTCTCTCTCTCTCTCTCTCTCTCTCTCTCTCTCTCCCTCGTGTGTGTGTGTTTTATAACTATCAACCACAACCTCCCTTGCTTGTCTGTAACTTCCAACAATCGAAACACACGACGTCTAAAACAGTCGCCTACTACATGTGATAGTGGTGTTTCTATTTGCTTGCTGGCAAAGATGGGCTGTGAAGGGAGTTTCAACAACGACAGTTAGTAGGGTTAGCGAGCGATGACGTTTTTGAACCGAAAAGGGATATGTATTGGTTGTGGTAGTGATGACGATGTGGTGTTTGTCAGAGAAAAAAAAGAGGAAGAAAATATGAAGGGGAGAGTTATGTGATCGTTATTGGCAAGACTGTGAGGCAGTCTCCGATTGTTCAACGACTGTAAAGGACAGAGATCCACAGTGGTAGTTGGTGAACAGAGAGAAAGAACTTAGTGCTTACTGGTTTTGGGTTGACCCTAGGCTTTGTAGGGAAGTAAGAAATGTGCAGTTTAGAGAGAAATGAAGAAAGAAGAACATTAGGATTATGTATGAATTTCAGAAATGGTCATTATGTCAGGAAGGGTAATTGGTCATTTCACATTACTTAACTGTAAGTTTAACACCATTTGACAAAAAGGTTTTTTTTTGCAAGAATTTAAAACCATATGGATCATCTATATAAAAAATCATCATAAAAACTAGAGTTTGTCGATTTTGTCAAAAGCAAGGACCATTTATGTAATTTTGTCTGATTTTGTAATTCATGTTTGCTAGCTCTTGTGTATCTTGGAGATGTCTTAGAAAGTAATATTCCGAATACAAAATGATATTTTTCATAACGGTATCAAAAATTGATGTATAAATGTCATTTTGAAGGTTTCAGTCATGTTATGATAAAAAATATGTAGATTTTGGGACATAATGGTACGTCCGAATGTCATTTTGAAAAAAAAAAAAAAAATGGAATGATAAAAAATTGGACAAGAAGACACATGTCAAGAAAATGCATGCTAAAAATAGCAGTAAATCAAGAAAATCTAAAATTGGAACATCTAAAGTCTAAACTATAAAATGTTTTTACAAAAAAAAGCACCCTTTTTGGCTTTCTTGCGAAAGAGTAAACAGAATTACATTTTAGTATTTTTTTTTACAGTTTACACAGTTTCTTGAAAACAGAGCGACCTAGAGAAAGCAGCAGGATTAGCCTGTAAAAAGGAAGACGACGTCCTATTAACTAAATGCTTCTTCTTTTCTTCGCCCTTTTCTTGAAAAGCTTTAAAATTTTCATTTTTAATTCCAAGCGTAGCCCATATGGAACTCTTTGCAGCTTCATCTGGATCATCGATTCTAAGAGTCTTCGGAATCAGAACTAAGTTCTTTGGTTTCTTCAAGTCATCTTCTGAATCGTTATGAATAATCAACACGTCGTCTCTCGAATGTTTTCCCAAGATTGGCTCACAGGGGTGTGAGGTTAGGGTTCTTGCAGGTGTTAATGGTGGCAAGAACGGAATAGAGTTCCAGTAAGTTGAAGGGTGGATTGGAATTGGAGGGCAAATGGCTGGAATTGGGATCGTCGGATTCCAGGGACTGTAGGGCCAAGAAACCATAGGATTAGGAGTACATGAAACTTTGGAATTGAATCCATTTTCGGTTACTGAATCAGAAGCTATGACAGTTCTATCGGAAGTAGCGGCAACTTCGGCTTGAGGTGGTGGTGCTGCTGCTTGGAAAGCTTCTTGGGAGATGGTGAAATAACGGCAATGAGAGGTCGAATTCTTGTTTTTCCGGCGACCTGCTCCGACCGGCATGCTTCTCATGGTGCCTCCGGCAGTCCAGTACCTTTGGCAGCTCTTGCAGAAGTGTCGCGGCTGATTAACATTGTAGTTGTTATAGTAACAAAACTTTGTATCCATGCTTGTACAACGAGGGCACGGAAGAATTTTGTCGGGCTTTTTCAAGGTTTTAGTTTGCGAATTTGTTGCATCGGATTTTGCTGTTCTAGCTTCTTCATCAATGGACGGCGTTTTAGGGTTGGAGGATTCCGCCATTGCGTTAGGAGATGATCTTACTTTATGTTGATCCTGGAAAGTGGAAACATGAACAGATGAGCATTTCCATTCAATACGTGCAGTTGACTTTTCTGAGTCAAACACGAAACACTAAAACCGACCCATTAATTCTATGATCATTAGAGAAATTGGGTTGCTTTTAGATTTACAAATTATGAAATGCAAACACACTTGTCGTATATGGAGGAACTGCATACCTTCTCCGGAGCTTCTCTGGTTACTCTCTCACCTTGGAAACATTTGTGATCGGAACTGCCGTCTTTATTATCACCACCACCGGTGAAGATGACTGGAAGATTAATACTGTTATTGAATTCAGGCAGCACAATCTTCTTTCCGAACAATTTGATACCAGGATCTTCCATCGCTTTTGTTTAACGATGAAATTTGGAGGTTGTTGCCGGCGGAGAGTGGTGGTTACAGTAGTGAAAGAAGGCTCGCTGGTCTTTGTTGGCAAATGACAGAAGTCTTGCAGAGAATAAATATTTGGATCAAAGTATGAAAGCAGAATTATATTATATATATCTTTTAAAATTATAAGATGAAGAATGTGTTTACTGTTTAAAGCTGGGTGGGGGTAGAAATTCGGTTTCAAGATAAGACGATAAAAATTCTCGTTAGGCCTATGAGGCAAATTCTTTGAAGGATATATAATAGTATTAAATACAATTACTATATTATCGTGAAGCTTTTTTTTTATAATAAAAATTTAATATTATTATTTAATTATTTTAAATAATTATTAATTAAAATATATTTTTTAATTATATAAAATTATAATTATTCATTTAAATAAATACATGAAATTATATCATTTTATAATATATATTTATTTTATGTTATTTTTTTATCTTAATTTTATTATTAAAGTGTGAAATTTAAAATTTGAAATAAAAAATAAATCATTAATTATTAATTTAATATAATTAAAGTGGAAAATTTCAAATTTAAAATGAAAAATTATTAGGTTGGCATATGATATGATAGGTGACATATAACATTAATAATGATTTTTAATATTGTGACACGTGTCAATAGAAGAATAGAAATATTCATTTATTAAAATGTAAAACCTTAATTTTCTAATATGGATTAAATGACAAATAATTGTTCCAACATCACCCAAGATCAATTATAAACTTACTTATAGACTAAACTACAACGAAAACAAAATAAAATAATATAAAGTCTTCAACCGAAGACTTTTTGGGTGTTACGTATTTGTGGAATTCCTTTGTTGCTTTCTTGATTAAACATTCTACTTGTCCATTCCTCTGCCACTAGCTAAATAGTTTCTTGGGTTGCGCACATTTAAAGTTTCTAAAAGGGTAAGCCTATGACCTAGTGAGTTCGTGTTGCACATAATTTAGGGGAACGATTAATTATCTAGAGAAAAAACCAAATGTTTATTTCCCTTCTTCTTGAGACACTTCATCATCCATTATACTCAAGTATTTTAAATATCCAAGGAAAAGAGTATAAATCTCAATTCTCATCCCCGCAAATCACACACATTCGTCATGTTCACGACGATTAAACACCCTACTCGTTCCCACTAAACATGTCACCCAAAAAAAAAGCACAATAGATAAACAACTCAAAATAACATTTTCACACAACCATAGTTATCATAAAATATAATATGAATAAATAAATAAAAACCACATAATAAACATATGACAAATATTTATATGCAAGCAACCACTGAACATGCAAAAAACACACCTTGCAACTGATAAGTCCCAACTGAAGCTTTATTGCTAATCTGCACCCTACATTACACGAACAGATTTTCTAAGGCAATTGTCGTAGAGAACATCCTACACGTCCATTTCGATTCAAGTATCCACATGTCTCATTCGGCCAGCCAAAATAATTTTACATTAACGTTCGCAATTGTACTGTGCCTCTCTCTTTCCAACTAATTGATTTCGCTTTTAATAGTTAAAAGTTAAAACAATTTAAATCTTTAAAATACAAGACAAACTTTTGTCTCTTTTTTATATAAATAAAAAAAATACATAGAACTAGCAAGTAATCAAAACTTTATATCTCATTTACGTAATTTTCATTAAAATGCAATGGTTTTAAATGTAAGAAAATAAATACTGATACGTCATTAAAACTATAAAGACCTTTTACATAAATTTATATTTCAGTTTAAATGAATATAAAGAAACGTACATTTTCCTCAAAAAAAATGGAGTTAGCACTATAACAAACATATAATGACTGATTATGTAAATTGAAATTTCATTAAAATAAAACAATTGTTGCAAGTCTCGATATTTCACACGTCCAGTAACCCACCCAAATAAAATTAAAACCCATAAACACCCTTTCTTCTTAACCCAAAATTTTAACTAATTTCCACAATTTTTAATCTGTAACAGCCTTTAAATTTCCTCCAAATTGTTTCAAATATTATATTAAAAAAAAAATAATCTTCATTCTTTTCTTCAAGTTATCCATATTCATTTACCAAAATTTTACTCTAAATAAGATAAGTCAAACAAAAGTTATTTTTAAAATTCTCATGAAACGGTGACTTATTGGCTTGAATTGAGACATGGGATTGAATAAGACGCAAAGTGCTTACATATAAACCTATTTTAAAAACTATAACGAGCTAAAACTAAAGAATCTTACCTTAATTTTGAGCATCACTCCGAAAATACTTTACGAACTTCAAACCCCAATTTCTTCTTCGTATCTCTAACCTTTCTTGCAATTTTGGTGGGGTTTCTAGTCGATTTTTCTAGCTCTTTATAATGCTTAAGGCCTTGGAGGTTATAAACCCTTCAAATGCTCGGATTTATTTCCACAATGAAGGTAATGGGTTTGGATATTAAACCTCATAATTCGCTACTAATTAACTGATTAATCCTTGAACTAATCATTTTAATTTAATGATATAATCTAAATTTATATATATATATATATATATATATATATATATATATATATATATGTAATGAGTTATCACAAATTTCCCCCCTTTGAAAAATTCTGTCCTTGGAATTTGAACTAAACAACCAGATAAGGGTATTTAGTCTTCTTATCTCATACGTTTCCCCATGTCGCATCTGACCCTTTATGTTACTTTTACTGAGCTTTCATGCGTTGTATCTTCATATTCCTTCCCTTTCTCGTTGTAAACTCTTCCAAAATGATGACATGAAACTATGGTTCTGATCATAGATAGTCAAGTGAACGATCTCATTAATAACTTTCCCCACAAGTATGTTTCACCCAATAACACAATTTAAGGGAACATTTTAGTTACCATATAAAGAACCAATGGTCCACTTCCCTTCCCACTTGGCACAACACATCCATTATGCTCAAGCATTTAAATATCCAAGGAAATGAGTAACATCTCAAATCCTATCACCGTCGGTCACAAACACACTCGTTATGTTCCCGACAATCATACACCCATGTCCCTATTAATGTGTCATCATACACCAGTTAAACGAATCAAAACACTTTCCACTTATCCTCTACTGTGGATTCTTTCTACCTCTTCTTCGGTCCACCCAATAAACTGACACTTACATCAATTCCCATCATCCAAATCTTGCATCCTTCCCTTACTTATGACTTAGAGAATAAGTGACAACAAGATCTAACACCCTGTTCGGTTGTTGGTATTCACTGTACATCAAAATTTCACACCTTTTTCTTGAAAAACAAATCTGGTGTACCCCATGGTGATGTACTATGTCAAATAAAACCTTATCAAGTAGGTCCTCCAACTACTAAATAAATTCTTTAATCCTTGTTGGTACTAACCAATAGGGCTCTCGAGGACTCCCTTACAACTGGCATATATGTCATATCATGTTCTTTTATTTTGTACCCACACCTGAATAGTTTTCTTATTACAATCTATGTTAACTTGCTTTTCGACAACCAATCCATTCCAACCACAACATCAATAACTCATAGTGATACGGGTGCTAGTATTAGTGGTGCTAAACAACCGTTTATTTAAATCAAGCAATCATAAAATTCCATTCTCACGACTACATAATGATCATCATCAGTCTTTATTTCTAAAAGCTTTTTCACCCATATTTACGCACTTACAAAAAGTAATGAAAAAAAATGTTTGCATCCATATACAATAGCACTCATAATATATAGTTACTAAGAAAGTACATGCCACTATATCGGGGCATCCTAAGCTTCCTGAGCAGTGATATAGAAAACTCTTCCTTTTGTTCTTGTCGTTTCTACCTTTTCATCTCCTTACTAATTCCCTTTCTCTGTTATCACGCGTTGGTTATTGTTACCCTTATTCTAAGGACAGTTTGGCCTGATGTGATCTGGGGAGCCGCACCCATCACATACTTTCCCTACTTTACAATCTGAAGCGATATGTCCTATCTTTCCACATTTGTAGCAAGTTCTTTGGTTCATATTACACTCCCACTATATGGAATCGTTTGCATATAGTACATTGGTCTATCCCAGACTGTTGCTTATAGTTACAATTTGAACTAGAAGTCTTGCCTTTCTTTGAGTCTATATTTGAACTTTCCAACTTTCTTTTTCCTCAATCCTTATTCTCACATTAACGATTCTTTTCCCACTCTCGGCCTTCCGTAGCGTCTACATCGGACTGGAAGGTATCTGGTTTCTAAATTTCTACAAATTCATGAATAGCAGTTTTTAGTCCCCAAATATACCTCTTCACCCTCCTTTCTTCCGTAGACACGTAAAATTCAGCAAACCTAGCTTTCTTCGTGAACTTAGTCGTGTACTCTCTCACAGTCATATTCCATTGTTCCAACCTCAAGAATTCTTCCTCCAACTGTTTAACCGTTGTTCGAGGGTAAAACTTTTCTTTAAAGATTCTTAGAAACTCATCCTACGCCATCTTCTTGGCCGCCTCACGCCCCTAACTTCCTTTACCATGCCCCACCAATGTATTGCCTCCTTTTTAAACATTGTTGCAGCATAAATCACCTTTTACTCATCCGCACATTTTCTAGTATCAAATGTTCCCTCGATCTGTGACAACCATCAAATTCCGGTCAAGTCAAAGTTAAACAAAGTCAACAAGTCAAACCGGTCAACTCAACTAACCCTTGTATACTAGGGTTTACGTTATGTAATTACTGTATAACTTGCTATTTTAATAAGAAATGATCACTCAGAAAGTTCGTATGCTTAGATTTTTGTAACCCTAATCGGGGTAAGTGAGGTAACAAAATGATAAAACACTATTGCATACCCATCAGGGTGTGTAGGATCCTTAAACATGGCTTAACAGGGTTTACAGACCTTGCATTGCGAAGCTAAACACTCAAAAAGGTCACAAATGAAGCTTATCCCAATCTCTTTTACTCTATCTCTCTCTCTATTAAAAATCTTTCCCAAATCTCTCTCAAAAGTTCCTTTAACTTTTCATAATCATTCGGGTCATCCCGACCCTTAACCGGGTCAAAAACCACTTAAAATGGGTAAGATAGCCTTAAGGAACCGAAACCCTCTCTTAAGGGGCGAACCCTCTTAAGAACCAAAGTCCCCTATAGGGACCGAACCTGCTAAGGACCGAGACTTAAGGGACCAACTGCTCAAAACCGAAACTCCACAGGACCGAACCCGAAGCT